CCCGATGAAAGTGGAGGTGTTGGTCCACGAGGGCCACAGCCTGCCCGGCTCCATGCCCGGGCCGGTGGTGGCCAAGGCCGAGGTGGAGAGGTGGTTCACGGCCCCTGGCGTGCGGAGGATCCGGCTGAAGGAGGGAGGTGTAAGGGGCTCCCTCTTCCTGCCGCCGGGTGAGTGTCCCGGCCCCGAGACCTTCGCCCTGGGGCCGGAGGGACCCCCCCGGCTTCTCTGTCCGGAGAAATTAAAATCTCTTTTTAAAAGGAAAACATGCGAAGATATCACCTGGAAAATCCATATTCTGTAATAGATCTGAAGGCTGCCCTGCAGACAGGTGGCAGGTTTTATTTCCTTGAAGTCTTAAGGAGACACTCCCGAAGGCTTGTCTGGACACAGGGCCACTTGCCACTGCCTGGTCCTTGCCTGCAGCACCGGGCAGGTGGCTCCTGTGAGACAGGCAGAAGCTAAATGAGAACCAGGGGTTGTAGTTTACTGTATCACTGCTCTCAGTAGATTATTTTTCAGGAGGTTTTATGTTTGCTCTGGAGTATGAGAATCCGTAACATTCAGAAAAGCTGATATGCTTCATCATGTGAACCTGTGCTAAATCTCCCAGGAATTTTACCCTGAGTAGGATCGATTCAAAAAGGCATTTTTTCTTCCCAGTGAAACACATGCCAGTAAGCAGAGCAGTGTAAGAGATTCTAGATAATACAGGTATTCCACCTCTATTACGCCAAAGCCTAAGCTAGGTTAATAGTTGAGTTGCTTCGGTTCTGTGGTAGAAAGGCAAAATGGATTTCTGAGCAAGTTCTGCCTGTTCTGCTCCTGGGATGGTTGTGCTTTATGAGGTGTGATATTCTCATGGCCTGCTCATGTTGTTGGAAAATGAAACCTTACACTGGTGATGGTGTTTGTCCGCTTGATTTACGCATAATTTAAACTTCTTGTATTTCCCCGAGTGTTGTGCTACTAAAACTGCCCTCCATATTAACTCGACTTGCTTCAGCAAATCCTCTGAGTACCACTACAGTTATTAGGGATTTAAGTAGTTTCAGTGAATGATTCCTAAACCACTCTTTTTATCCATTTAGATATGGATTCAAAGTCCACTGAAGAAAAAGAAACAACTGAGATTGAACTTTGAATTTTGGATCAAATGTTTAGTCAGCATTCTGGAGTTTCCATCACTGAGACGTGGTTGTTTTGATATATCCTGCCTTAGAGGATGAGCTGGATTTCTGCTGAGCTTAGTGGGAATCCAAAGATCTGCAAGATGGAACTGCATTTTTTCCTTTAGCAAGTCTGGTGTTGTAATAGTGTGGAAAAGTCTGAAATCATTGCTTAAATGATACTGGCATCCTTCTTGATGGAGGATCCAGATACAGCATTACTACCGTACCTTTCTTTGCTCCAGGGATGGAAAAATGTTGTTATTAAGACTGGAATCTTAAACGTGAACCGTTCTTATAAAAGCGAGATGACATGAGAAGGCTTATGCTGTAATTTTAATATGAAAGAGATTTCTCAATTCAGGCACAAGAGTTGCAAGTCTGGGGGTTGTTTGTTTTTAACTAGCAGTAAAGTTGTCTAGCCCGTTTTATCCTGCTTTTTAGTGAGCTATGCAGAAACTGTATACTTGGGCGTATGTAGGCACTCAGGAAGGCAGTCCAGGAGCCTGTGTAAGTTAAAGGTTATCTTCATGAGAGAGAAATGCATCCATGCTTGACTGTCTTCTGATCACATGTTCTTGCTAGAAGGCTTTCCAGGTAGGGGTCATCAATCAACAAAAAAAATTTTTTTTTTTTTTTTTTTTTTTTCTCTAGCAATCTAGGCTGACTGTTGTTAACTAAAGGTTACTGTTGATGATAAATTTATCCAGACATATTTTTGCTGAAGTAGAATATTGAACTTCTTTAAAAAAATCTCAGAACTGAAAGAAAAAGAACCCCAAAGCATGTTTCTGTCCTTTTCTGAATTCCTAATGCTTTAAGTTAGGAAGTTTCCACCAGCTAGTCCAAAACTTCCTTTCCTCAAGCACCTTGAAATGCCAGAGGTCTTTTCTCTATTGCATATAGGTAATGTCAGAGAGTTAAGTACTTTTTGTGCTGAGATAGTTCTAGTGAGTTGGATCCGAGTACATCAGTGGTGACATCTGGTGGCCAGGAAAAAAAAAAAGAAATAGCCTGCCTGGGGTCTTTATAGTTCCAAGAGGTAGTACCCTTAGCCCTTTAACCCAAGATCTGCTGGCTTGGCATACCATAATATCACAACATGACCTTGGCTGCAAAGGTATACTTGTTTAAAATTGTGGTTCTGATTATTTCTAGTTTTGTGGAACTGATTGTATACATGTATATGCATTTTACCTATATATCAGGCACACACACATAACCGCACCCGTATAGCTCTCGTTTTTACCCGCTGTCTCTTCACATCTGCGGCAGCACTTCTGCTGCCAAGTGTTACAGTGCTGATGTTGAGATAGTGCTAGTAAGTCCAGGTGATTTCATCTAGCAATAAGTGTCTCTTTGCTGTGCTTTGCTCAATGCACCTTATTCCAGAATTTGTGTAAGTTATGTAGAATTTACTTCCAGGGCTCAATGCTCTTGCCTCATTAGTAATGAGAGTAATGAGCTTGCACTTTGCTAATTAAGGTATGACTTCTTTGTGGGGAAAATAGCTGACTATGATTGTTCTGAGGGTGGGAGGTTAAGACCATTGAAAAATAAATTTAGAACTTTTTTTTAAGAAAAAACAAGTTTAATTGTTCACATATTTTTACAGGAAGGTAAGGACCTATTCTTAGTTTGAAATAGCTGAAGTGGGATACAGCACTGGTTCTTTAATCTCTGCGCTGCAAATGGAAAAGTAATGAGTATTAATAGAAAGTGTCTTAAGCCTTCTATATTTTGTTTACTCTTCACCAGATAGTTTTTAGTGTCCTGTTTGATAACTTGTCCTCTCTACCTCTTCTTTTTAATATAGGGGATGGCCCCTTTCCAGGAGTGATTGACATGTACGGTGATGAAGGAGGTTTGATTGAATTTAGATCCAGTCTCCTGGCTACCCGTGGTTTTGCTGCTCTTTCTCTGCCATATTTTGACTTTGAAGATCTGCCTAAGGTCATGAGAGAATTCAAACTTGAGTACTTTGAGGAGGCAGCTAGATTCCTACAGCGTCACCCAAAGGTGAGTGTAGTGAGCCCTCTCTCAGGACAAGGGAGGATTTGGCAGTCATGCCCAGTGGTGGCGGGGATTTTTTTTTGGTTTTTTTTTTTTTTTTTGTTTGTTTTTAGAGTATCAGTTTCTGCTGGGGAGGTTTAGGTCCAATAATGCAAAAAGTGTAGGTCCTGCATAGGTGACTACATATATGACTGCAGAGTGTGAATTTCTTCCAGCACGAGCTGTCTGTTAAATAGACACATACTGGAAACTAGAAGATTCCTGATCATTGGAACAGTGAAGTGCTGGAATACCCTCCAAACAGGAGCGGTGGTGATAAATATGCGTTCCTTAAAAATGAAAGCAATTAGTTTAAGAGAGGAAGATACAAAACTGCTCAATAGTCAAATAGGATTTGATGACTTGGGACGTTGCTTTCAGTTTTACTTTCTAAGCTAGGAAAGGGCAAGACTAAACACTACTTCTCTAATCCCTCAAATGTCATTTGTGCGGTTACTTTATTTGTCTGAGACATACGTAGCAATAGACTGTTCTTGAATTTCCTGCTACCTGTTTCGGGACAAAGAGCAAGTATTTGCAGCAAAATATGCAGCAGGGACTAGGTGAGGTCCAAGTTACGGTACTTCTTGTGCCTGTCTGTGTCATTTTGTGGGACAGCTCTTGTTGTCTCTGAAAAATAAGACACTAAACAGAGGGAGGAGCATGGGTCCAGGCTGTAGCTTTCCAACAGGTCACATCAATAATTAACCTAACATTTTTTCTTTTAATAACACAACTCCAAAGGCATTTAATGGCTAATCCCTTTATAATGCATACTTCCTTTATTCCTTTCTTCCTCTCTTCCCCACCCCCTATCTTATCTGAAGGTGAAGGGACCAGGAGTTGGAGTGATTGGGACTGGGAAAGGGGCAGAATTAGCACTCTCCATGATCACCTTCCTGCCAGAAGTAGTGGCTGCTGTCTGTATCTCCGGCTGTAGCTCAAACACAGTTGCAGACCTCCATTATGGTGAGATGACTCTGCCTGGGCTGCGCTTTGATATGAATAAGGTCAGTGTTTCTGATGCTGGTGTATTTGACACTTTCGAAGCTCTGGATGACCCAACGAATCCTGCTAATTCTCCTTGCACGATCCCCATTGAAAAAGCAGAAGGTCACTTTCTCTTTGTGGTAGGGGAAGATGATCGTATGTGGAAGAGCTCCTTATATGCTGACCTGGCAATCGGGCGTCTACGCCAGCATGGGAAAGAAAATTTCAAACTCTTGAGATATCCAGGAGCAGGCCACAGAATTGATCCTCCTTCTACTCCATTTTGTCAGGTAGCTATGGATCGTGTTCTAGGGGTGCCTGTTCTGGGGGGTGGAGAGAGCAAAGCACATGCCTATGCGCAGGAACACTCCTGGGGAAAGATTCAGGAGTTTCTGCACTTGCATTTGGGATGAACATTTAAGCAACCTACAAACTGTTGCAGAACTGCAGAGGACTGAGCTTGAGCCACCAAAATGACTGGTGAATTGGAGGGACTGACTGAGAAAAGCTTTAAAATATGAAATAATCAAATGAGTAGGCTGCATTGTAGTACAAATTTGGTCATGATATCAAGAAACGAGCATCTGAAGAGAGTAGTAGGTACTTTCTTGCTTGCCATATTTACAACTTGGAGAATTTAACAGCTAGCCTGCACCCTCAGCAATGACAGACTGGATCGCACCGAGGGAACGATAGCAACCCATGGATGATAAACTTGGACATCAAAATGATGAATGATTCTGGCTTTGGGTCTTAAGTTACCTTAGCCCAGAACTCTCAGACTTACAGCCATTTAGACTTTGGAAATGTTTTATATATACATGAAGCTGGGGATATCTATTTGTAATGAGGCTCATATACCTTGACCTTAGGTAGTGGTCTTCTGGTGACAGTCTGTTTCTTTCCAACAAAAATTACCTGTAGAGTGGGAAAATGAAGAGTACTTTTCCTGTCATCCAGGAAGAATGTCAGCGCTAGCACTGTCTTGTCTTAGGGATGTAACCATCTGTTCCTATAACTTCCTGGATTAGCATTTGACACTCAGGGTATTAAAATTCTGTTGGATAAGTTAAGGCATGGTTAGATGCAGTTATGCTATGTGCAAGTCTTACTTCTCTCTTTGCTGCTTGTTTTAAACTAGTAACACCTGCCATTAAGTTAGGGATTAATTACTTGTGGAACTCTTTAGTAATGATGTCAATGGATGCAGATAGCTGTTCTTAGGGAGGAAGCAGAGTTGAGAGACAGAAAACCTAGTCAGCAGAAGATTAAGGCTGACTGTAAAAACAGCTGTCACCTTATGGTGGTGATTATCTTAAAATCATAATACTTAAAAAAAAAAAACCCACACATACCCCTCAAAAAACCCCAACAACCTTCCCACCACCCAAACCCAATGCCAAATCTAGGATATCTTTCCCACAACTGCCTGAGATGTGGTGTTTTTCCCCCCCATCCCAAATAATTTTTGGCTAGTGCCTTACTTTTCCCCACCATTCAGGTAAAAGGAAACTGCTTCTTCCCAAAGGAGTTGCGCTCTCTCTCTCAAGGGTCTTGCTGGAACGGTGGCAGCGCTGAAGGCCTGTTTAACAAGGGCCTCTATCAAGACAATTTCTCCTTCCAAGGTCATTTTGTCAGACCAGTTTGAGAGCTGCCTAGGAAGATACAAAGCCTTCAGTTGCTTTGCTCTCAGGGATCTTTTCTCTCCAGTTAACTGTTGTTATGCTGCTGCTCAGGTCTTGTTAGCTTTCTGCAACTCTTATTACTCCTTATCATTTGATTGAAGTCGCATGTTTTCCACACACCATCACTGCCAACTGAACAATTTATCTATCCACTCCTTACAAGAGAAGCCCCCTCCTGCTCACTCCACACAAAATGTCTTCGTGCCCAGTCTCTCTACTCCCTCACTGGCCAAAAGGGCCTTTGCAGTTGTATCTGGTGCTTGAACCTCCAGTGAAGCTGGCAACCCAAGCAGCCCAGGACCACAGCCCGCTGTGATGTGCGCTTAGCACCCTGCCTTTCTTCCAGACTCACTCCAGGTTGCAGCCATAGAGGAAAGGAAAGGGTTGTCTGAAGGTTTCTGTTGTTCTGTTTGCCTCATCATGTGCATCTTCAGTAGTTGGAGCCGTGTAGCTGTGGTAGGGCAGTGCCTCCCCAGCCCTGCCTCGTTACCCTCCCCATACTTGTACCTCTGTCTCCCCTGCCACGCAACATTGCAAGCTGGAGGTTCAGGAAGCAAATGCCATGTTGTAAATAAAACAAACCCAGGTAGCTTAAAAGTCCTCAGACTTCATTTCTAAAGCACAAGCCTTTAAAATGATTCAGTGTTAGACATTGTCAGATATATGCAATTTGAAAGAGAAGTAAAATGCTTCCTTTATTAAAAAGCAAGCCTGTGTAAGAACCTGGTGTCATATTTTTGTTTCTGCCTAGTTCATTTGTGTGGAAAGCCGAATAATTTTTTTTTTAAGCAAAGCAAGTGGGGGGAAAAATAAAAATAATATAATTTTACTGTGAAGATCCTTTTGCGAGCAAACAAAATAATTAACGGAAGGCCCTGTAGAAAGCCAGCCAACTTTTGCACTTGTATTCTGTACCTTTACAATGCTACCTGGAGGCCAGAGGCACATTGCGGACGCTCTGCGGGTAACGTAGCCTTTTCCTGAAGTACCCATGAAACAGCGCCCGATGGCGGCCTCGGTTAAAGCCGCGTTGTTTCTATTGGTTTGCGTTCCTTACCTGGCAGGCCTCCCGTAGCGGTTCGGCGGGGCCGCACTGGCG